GTGATTGCTGTCTATCTGCACCTCTCGCCACCTCAATTTCAAGTTTAAAGTCATATATAAGAGGCCTCCTGAACAAAAGAGCAGTTGGTGGAGTGTCACAACGGGAGCACAGATGACCCAGAGGACCGGGACCATGATGATGATGACTTTAAGATTAGAAAATGGCATATGTCATACTTATTAATGCAGCATTTCCTGGAGCAGTGCCATTTTCTTCACACCAGTTTATGTCTCAAAAAACCCCATTTGATATTTCAGAGACTCTCTGCAAAACCGACAGCGGAAGGAGCCTCACAGCAGGAAGGGCTCCAGTGTGTCACTAGCAATTAAACCAGGTCACACGGGTGTGACGGAGATCCAGGTCGCGCCTGTGTTTTCTAAGTTGTTTATATCAATTAGAAAAAGCATGATTTGAGGAGATGAGGGGGTAAAACTTGGGCACTAAATTAGGCACTTGAGACTACTTCGGTTGCGATTGCGTCATCGGAATAAAATACCTGAAGCTTGTCCTGCTGTGGACACCGTTTGTGTGTGTATGTGTTGCGTGCTTGTTGACTCATGGAGCCATTTAGGTGAGGCAGTGACAGCTGTGACACAGACTAAAAGTGGACATTTTCCCCCAAGAATTCTCCCCCCGATGGCACCAGCTGTCTTCTTTAATATAAACAGGCAGCAGAAGACCTCGCTGGTGCTGGTAAAACACATCTTACAGTGTGTGTGTGGATGCTGACACTCCCCAGCTGTTTTTCTTTCTATGCGCAGACATTCACTAAAACCTTCTTTTCTCCTCCGGGAGGTGTCAGTCACTGAATCCAACCCACCCTCACCATCATCTCTCCGCTTCACCTCCACCACCCACCAGCATATGAAGAAGAAGAAGCGGTGATGTGATGATGACATGGAAACTGGGAACAGAAAGAGAGCTAGAGAACGTGCAAAAGTTCATGTAGGAGGAGGGTGATTGTGTTGAGCGCTACATTACAATTTCATATCTCCCTTCTCGGTCCCTGTCAGCAGAAGAATGCAACATGAAACGCAGCTCTTGCAGCACAATCAGGGCCTGACAGGCAGAATAAATCTTCATCATTATGCAAGCTCATGAGCGCATGTGTTGTTTTGTTCTTTGCGGTGAAAGGTTTGAGTTTTAGCCCTTGGGGGTGGATATTTTTATGAAAATCAGCAACACTTTTTGGCCATTAACGTGCAACTTTTTAATCACTCCAAATGATTAATCGTTATCAAAATTGTTCCCAGTCATTTTTTTTTCAGTCCGCTAATCCTTGGAGCTCCACTGCTGATGGTTCATCTAAGGACTATTTTATCCCCCAAAATAAAATTAAAAGTGAAAAATCAGCAGCATGGTTTGTCACATTTTGAGAGAGATTTATTTGTTCCTCGGGAAATGTTAACACCCATCTAAAAATAAAGTGAACCTCGGAGCAGGAACGATAACGACCCACTTTCTGCTGCTGTGTTGTCTCTGCTGAAAATTAAATTCCCTAAAGTGCCCCACCGTGAAAAGGATGATCCTTCCATGGGTGATTGACAGGAAACTAGTGTATTAAATGGAACAGTCATCAAGATTAGACAGTCCATCAGCGGGTAGGCGTACAGCTAAAATAACAGTGAGCCAGCCTGGACTCCAGGCCTGACAAACAGTGATTTCCTTGAGTTCCCAGAGGAGCTGAGAGAGGAAATGATGCTCCGAGTCAGTGGAATCATCGCTGTGAAGTGGAGGATGTGCAGATGAGCAACAGCAGTTGTGCCACGGCAATACAAAAAGTAATAAACTGAGATTGACCATCTGTTTTTTATTACTCAAGGCCGCGGGCTCAGACTGGATCCAGCTGGATGAGTGTTAGTCCATTAAAGGTGAAAGTTAATCACCTGCGTACTTTCTGATGAGAAAAAAAGTAAATAAATGGGATTAACTCTTTAGTTCTGGAAAGCAGTCTAACCTGCTGGTGTTCATGTCAGCATCAGGTTAGAAATCACACTAAACAAACATTTCCTGCTGAAATAAATACTTGTTATAGGCTAAAATCATTCAAAAAAAAAAAGTTCACAGTGAGTATTTTGTTTGCTCAGTATTTATCACAGACTGCTTTATTTATACACTCCGTGTGATTCGTTTCAGTAACATACTGCCTTTTTTATATTTGTTTGCTTTTGTGTTTTTAAGCCTTTGAAAACATTTAAGCATGCATTTATTTTTGAAAGGGTGACCGAAAGTGTAACTATGGTGTTGTTTCTACTTTGACAAGTGCTAAACGATTACTGAAATGTGAGTGTTTAGTGCCCTCGTTTGGTCATAGTATGAACTACAGCACCTGGTTAGTGGGAAGGTTGTTGGTATCAGTAAAGGTTATGAGATTTTTATGTCACTGCATTCTGTTTTTATTTACATTTTCCCCACCATCCCAACTATTTTGCAACCGGGGTTGTATATATACATTATTTATTAAAATCCTTCATCCTAAAAATACAGATCTTCTTCTACTTCAGAATCAGAATACTTTATTGATCCCTAGGGGAAATTATTTAATACTTCTATCAGCTTTTAGTCTTTTTGTCATGCCACCATCTCTAAGGGGCTAGGCGCTGTCTCTGTGAAAGAGCCAAGAGCGTTAATTTCCACTTCCTCCATGCAAAGGTTGGCTCCAATACGTGACACTGGGGAGCCCATTGTACATCTAAGCTTTTGCCTGTAGAAATGCTTGTTGTATTTAAAATATGTGGTGATAAGGCAGAGCTCTAACCATGTGCAACTCTGATGCTGTAGTTGTTTTCTGACTGCCTCAGGTGCATGTGTACAAATGAAGAGTGAGACCACATCAAAGGACACGATGGTTTCACGTAGGTAAGTTTCTGGACCTCATTCGTGAAGTCAGTGGAGTTTTTGATATGACAGGGTGTGTTCCCCACCAGGGGACCTCGAATGGTGGCGAGGTGCTGCAAAATGTTGTAGGTGGCCGTGTTTATACTGCTAACAAGGGTCTGAGTGGATCTTTGGAAGTCCATATATACAGAGTATAACATCCCCTGCGTACAAAATGTAAGTAGGGTGGTCAATACAAATAGTGTTATTAACAAAATATGAGGCATGGGCTTTTCTTTTCTTTCTTTCTTTTTTCTTTTTTGCATTGTTTAATATTTTTGTCGTCATTCAATTACAGTATTTACATTTACCAATCGCTTTATTAGATACACTTTGCTAGTACTATGTTGTGCCATTTTTCCCTTTGTAGCTGCTTTAATTCTTCATTGCGTAGACTGACACAGTGCAGGAAACCTTCTTTAGAGATTTTGGTCCATATTCACATGATAGCACTGCAACATTGCTGCAGATGTGTCAGCTGCACATCCATGATGTGAACCTCCTGTTCCACCACATCCCGAGCTTGCTCTATTGGACTGAGACCCAACGACTCTGGTGGCCATATGAGATCACCTGAGCTTCGTGACATAGCGTAATATTCTGCTGGAATCAGCCAACACAAGATGGGTACACTGTGGTAAAGGGATGGGCATGGTTAGCGTCAATATTCAGGTTGGCTGTGGCATTTAAATGATGCTCAGTTAGTGCTAAGGGGCCCAATAGGGCCTACAAGGCAGGATGGATGTATGTTTTCATGTTGCTTATTCCAAATTCTGACACTACCATCCAGAAACTGACACTCATTAGACCTGGCAAAATTTCATTGTCCAGTATTGTTGAGCCCATGCAAACTGTAGCCCAGGTTTTCTGTTCTTAACTGACAGGAGTAACAGTCAGTGTGGTCTTCTGCTTCTGTAGCCCATCTGTATCAAGGTACAAAGTGCTGTCTTCTGCATACCTTTGTTGTAACAAGTGCTATTTTATTTACTTAACTGTTTTACTTGCCTTCTTCAGAGAACTGCTGCTCACTGGATATTTTCTCTGTCTTTTATTTTTTACTTAGATGACCTTTCTTCTTTTCTTGTATCTTTTTTGTTTTGTTTTAGTGTTTGTTTTTTGCTTTTGTTCCAGCGTTCGCTGGGTTGTTTTATTGTGGAGATTTCAACAGGAAGTACAGTTGCGCCCTCCAACGCAACATAAAATTCAATCAACGGCTGTAATTATGAATGTGTTAAGTTCATTTTTTTAGCAAAGATCTCAAACAGCAATACCATTGGCCTTTTTGATGGTCTGCATCAGGGGTGGCAAACATAAGGCCCGAGGTCAATTGTAGACTTTCAACTGTCTTTTTATAATTTTTATAGCGTTTCCTACCAATAAAGATCTCCTCCGTGACTATTATACATCTCCACTGTTAATTTAATTAACAAATAAATAAATAGAAAATTATCTGTGTAATAACAAGGGCTGTTTTGTTTTATAGTTACAGGATAGTCTGGCCAATGAGTCACCAGAAATTTGTCTGTAAAGTCCAAAGAGTCGTGCTGACAGATGTATTTGATTTATAACATCAGAATCTCTTTAACATGTAGAGAAACTGAGGCATTCTGTTGAAATTCCACTTTTTTATGTTTTATATTAAGTTGATGAATGTGCAGTTAGAGTCGTTAGACAAGACTCTCAATGTACAATGAGTTTGACATCCCTGGTTTGCATTAATAAGGATACTTAAATAAGGATAGTGTAAGGATACTGTATTTGAAACGGCCTACTTACTAAAAGTTTTGGGCCCATCAGTTAGATTTTTAGTGGTTTTTTTAGTAGCACAGTTATGACATTTATTTGAATAATAATATGTTATGAAACGGCTCCGAAACTTTAGATGAACTGTTGTCTGGACTCATTACAATTAGGCTACCAGTTGGATGTATTGAGAGTGAGAATCCAAATAGCTGGGTGTTTTCATTATTTTTTAGGACATCGTTCACAAACCATTTCCTGCCACCCAGGGGCAATGTTGTGTCATTTTTAGTCCTGCTTCCCTGCCCAAACTGTGAGGGCAGGTAATCGGTCTGGGGAGAGGTGGTGCTATTGCGCACGAGGCTCTAACCCGGAGCAAACTGTACTCGGCGTATGCTCTCCGAACTGTTGTTATGGAGAAATTTCCAGTGAGAGGAGAGGGCCCGGCAGTCTATTCGACGTCTGCAGTAACAGTAATGGTGCGCTGTCGGGGGCTCTGAAGTCTGTGCGCGCCCGTCGGTTTTTGTTGGAGTCTTTGAGCCGTGCGCTTCAGCTTGGATACAACACACAGGATCTGCTGCTGTTGCTTCGTTACCTGAAGTTTTACACTTTGCAGCTTCTTGCATGCGCTATTTTTTTCTTTTTCTTCTTGTTCTGAAGCGCATCTGTGGCTGTTCCACTTTGTGTTTTTGTACTGGGGAGAGCGCGCGTGTCAGCCAGATATGTTTTCTCCAAAAAGTTTAGCAGCCCTGCAGTCGCTCTCCTAAACTCCAATATTTCCATTTATTGTTATTATTATTGTTGTTGCTGTTGTTGTTTTATTTTACTTGAACACTTCAGAAGCTTTAAACTGACAAAGGAGGAAATGGCCAAAGTGGGGAAACCGCGGCTTTGTGTCATGACAAAAGGGGAGAACGGGTATGGATTTCACTTGCATGGCGAGAAAGGAAAGAGCGGCCAGTTCATCCGCAAAGTGGAGGCTGGCTCCCCCGCAGAAGCGTCAGGGCTGCGTGCCGGTGACAGGGTGGTCGCAGTGAACGGAGTAAACGTGGAGAAGGAGACGCACCATCAGGCAAGTAGATGTGTGTATTATTTAACTTGTGTCTTAGCTGACTGAGCAGGGGCTACATCAACAGGTGACACTGGCTGATACAGACATCCTGACACGGTGGCGCATAGCCTCCTCCTCCACCCGGCGTCACAGACCAGAGGTCTGCAGGTTATTGAATTACAAAACATTTTCCTCCGACACTTTGCGCATGCAGGAGCACGCTTATGAAAAAATAGCACGTTTGCGTTAGATTACATTTCAGTTTACCTAGTTTAGCTCGTTTGGCTGACTAACCTGCACAGCACCCTTTGTTTGGAAACAAGGGGCGCACTGAGCAAGAACTTTACGCAGGCTGTATTCCTTCCCTTGCAGTTTTTTTTCCTAGTGAAATTCAACAAATCAGCAAGTCTCTAGTCAGTGCCCTGAGCTTAAATATAAACCGGTCCCTGTAAATAAGATCTTAACAAACCGTGTGCTCCTCTATTTGCAAGGTCTGGCTGGTGGTCAGATAGAGTCAGCAGGCTCAGATAATTATTTTCACAAGCTTGCAGGCACACGGGGAAAGATCAGCACCAGCCTCCTCTCTGTGTGCTGTATATTAGGTTTGTTGCAGCTTGAAAGATGAAAACAAACCCGCTGACCATTGTGTTTGAAGTTCAGGGAACAAATCTGCCACCCAGGTGTTTCTAAGGAGCCTCATATTCCTGCTCATATGACAATGATCTAAAAACACGACAATGATAATTGTCAGTTTTGAAAACATCGCTTTCCACTATGTTCCCACTACAGATGTATGGGAATAAATGATTAGAAAAATGATGGATCAGTTGATACAGTTGCTTTGTCAAACAGTAAGAACCAAATAAATACAAAGTTATGTTAAGAAATTCAGTTAAAGGAACACACACATCCCAAAAAGCTAGAGCCATCACCTTTTTCAAAACGTTGCTTATACAGCATTTTTCCTAAAATAAAGATGCAAATCACAGGCTTGCATGTTAAAAGGTGTATACAGGCTAATATAATGGTCAGTAATTGTATATTAAACAAGTCCGTGATGGATGGATTGGGACTAATCCTTCATAGGAGTAGCATTTAATTATCTGCTGCCAAACTGTAGAGAATTTAATGTATTCAAACCAAACGTCCGGTGTTCCATTCCTCAGGTGGTACAGAGGATTAAGGCCATGGACAACAAGACCAGGTTGCTGGTGGTTGACTCTGAGACCTATGAAAGCCTACGCAGCCTGCGCCTCACAGCAACAGAGGATATGGCCGTCCTTAGAATTGGAAATCCTTCCTCCTCTTCCTCTCCACCTGTGTCTCCTTCTCCGGCACCATCGTCAACGCCATCTTCGCCCTCCAAGAAGCGGGAAAACGGCTCTGTGTCCAAGCAGCCCGTCACAGTGAGCGACCAGGTGCAGAAGCCCACTAGGAGGTCACCGTCTAAGGCTGCAAAGAAGGTAAGGACATGCTGGATCATCACAGTCATCACACTACACGCTTACTAAAGCACTAATATGTGTGTGATATCTGTCTAACAACAAAAGAATTAAAAAATTACAGAAAGAGTGTGTTTTCTTTTTTTCAGTGTGAACCAGCTCCCCAGTAAACCCACAAATAACTGTCAAGCTTCTCGAGCCAGTCATCATAGGAAATTCTTAGAGATTTGTCTGCTTGAACACACCCGAGAGTTAAAAATACGCACTTTGCATTAGAACAGATTGAAGGTAGTGACTGAGTCATCACTTTGAACAGACTCTCCTCGGCATGCTTTCACCCTAGACTTGTTTTCTTGTTGCTTTGCCAGTTTTTGATCAGATACGTAGATAACATTCAGGTTCCACAGTCTGCGTTGTTACGTGTGAATGCAATGAATGCGGGTGAAGCATTCCAGATGTTGTGTTAGAGGTCAAAGAGGATGTGAAAGGTCAGAGGTTAGGAATCTGGCACCAGGCAACGTAGTAACTCTGCAAAAAGAAAATCCACAGAAATCTTGAAAATAAAAAAGTTGCAATACATGAAAAATAATGACCTTCCTATATTTTGAAAGGTTGTAGATAGAGTGTTTTTACAGGACAGTTACAGGATCGCTGTCACAGTTGGTTGCCTAACCTGTAGTAAGCATTTGATACTTTTTATTTTCTCATTTTTTTGGATTCACTGCTTATTATTACTCCCCTTTGTCCTGAAAAACAGGAAGCGTTTCCGCCCGCTCTGTCTCTCCTGGAACGCTCCGAGATCTGATCGGATTTGGTTTCAAATGGTCTCTATTGGGGGGAGGCCGAGGCTCAACTTCTGTTCTCTGCATTTACACAACATGTGTTTTCACTTAGGCTTGCCTTGCCAATATGTGAGCAGCACTCAGGCAGTCCTTCTACCAGAGCAGTGACAGGCCCAATCAGTTAAATCTTGGATGCGTGTGTTTGCGTGTGTGTGTCTTTTGTTCAGCTCTGGCTTTGACCTGTGGGGAGAAATCCTAGTACTTGGTTCAGGAATTGCTCAGCGGTCTCTCGTTTCTCTTTTCTGTCTTAATGAGTCTAATGTAAGAATTGAAGAAAAGCTCAGCAAGATGAGCCAAAAAAAGGCATCTGTGGTTCCGAATAAAAAAAGGAGGAAACCTGTTGATGAATCAACAGTTCACTGAAACGACTTCATTTGCTCAGGCATCGTGACAGATAATCAGCTTCTTTCTATTTTTACTGGCGCAATGAAGAGTTCCTCTGTGGCCTGATTGATTCCTGTGAGCCTCCAAAGAATCGGACTTCTCAAAGGAAGCTGTTCCCTCACACATATGCAGACTATTGGCACAGCCTGCTGATGCAGCGCGTCCCCTTGTTTGGTGTTTACAACAATGAAAGTAGAGGGGAAAAACACACAGATCACCGAAGAAACACAGAATAACCGAGACAAGAATAAACTATATAAATACATAGTAAAATACTCCTCCCAATTCTTTGTTTTTGGTTCTTGTAAAAGTTTCTTTTTGCTCATCAAAGCAGGAGACCAAGACCGCTGAGCTAAGCAAATTTCCTCATAGGTTTCACTTTTTTAAGAGAAGGTAGGAGAGGGAACTAGAGACAGGGCAGATAGAAGGAACCACAACCAGTGCTAACCTTGAGCTTTGCAAGAAGAAGTTTCAGGAAGTGCTCTCTCCTCTTTGCAGTGCAAAGGAGTCACACAATGAGGGAGAAAGATGGGTTGTGCATGTACCAGTATAGCAGTGAGGGTGGTTGTGCATGTACACAGTGTGTTTCCAGGGTCTATCCTCCTGCTGGGGATGTTTTTTTTTTAATTGGATACCTGACCCCCAAGCTGTTTTATGTTACTGGTGTTTTTAATTTGCACTTTCAGTTCACTTTGTGCAGATTATGTTTGTATATTCAGTGAAAATCACAAATTTCAAGCTATAGCCGGTTTTGCACACGTACATTGTTCATTTTCGAGATATTACCTGGTGAAGCTGGGTACGTACCAGATTTCAGGAATAACACCATGCTAGCTTCCCAATGAAAATGCGATGTAATGTCCAAATGAGCACATGTAAGAAAAGAGTGCCCTGGCTCCTGAACCCATGCGCTGCCCCTCACCAACAAACATAACTTCTAATTTTCAGAACTCTGCCACAGACAGTTTCCTCCTGCTGTATGATGGGAGAAAGGGCAGATGAGGCGACGTCAGAGCTGCGTTGTGACCTAAAATAGATAGACTTACCTCTGAATCCACGAAAAAACACCTTTAAAATAACATATTAACATAAAAGAACTTGAGAAATATCCTAATTTTATGTTTTCTTTAATACGAAAATGATCCAAAAAGAACAAGAATTCACTTCATGTCTGTTCAATGGTGCCAGTTTTCCTAAACGTAGACAAGTATGGCTCAAAATGGGTTTCAAAGTTGGAACCTACTGCTAACTAACTCAGTGAGAGCACTGTACTTTTTATTTACTGCAACAAAAATCTCAAAATTATTGTTAGGGGATGGGAGGGGAGGTGTAGGAGGTCCCAGTGTGTCAGCTGCAAAGGGAAAATCTGGGCCATGATCAGTTCAGTTTCAAACTATGTCCGTCAAATGCCAAACTTTTATTACAGCTTGTGTTTTTTTTTAATATCCCCTTGTCTGCTGAACGAATAGAAGCTTTGACAGCCACAGATCATGCAGGTCTAATAGCCTAAAATCGCTACATGCGTAAGAAACATGACATAAACTTTTTTCTGCAACTGTAATTACTTTCACATTTCCCCAATAAATATCCCCATGAGAGGGATTTGTGTGTTTGTGCATGTGTTCCCCAGGTTACATGACACTGTCTGTATTTTCCCTCTGTTTTATGGCCGCTCATCCCCCAGGTTGCTTTTTTCCTTCGCATTCCTCTCATGTTTACTTCTCTCTTGATTTGTGGTACAGCAGAAGGAGTCGAGAGGTCGACGGCTGAGCGATGGATGGACTGCCTCTGTGTGTGTGTGTGTGTGTGTGCACATGCATTCTGCATCAATATCCTCCATATATATATATATGACCAAAAACAAACAAAATATGAAGAAGCAGACAATTTTTTGTGGTCATCAAATCTCTCCTAACATAAGTAGATTATGACACCTTTGCGTGGTAACGGCTGTTTTGTTGCCCTTTTCAGCATTAGAGAGAAGTGTCACTATCACTGAGCACCGTTCTCAGCTTTCAGCTACTTTTGCCCACTTAAAGTGAGTAACTGAATTACAGAACCACATTAAAGGCATTTCATTTTTCTACCTCTTTGTTTGAGGATCAGAAGAAATTAGCTTATTTTTGGTCTCTGAAACAATATTCGTTTCCATCTCTCCTAAAATCTTTTGCCTGTTGGCACAAAAGCAGTCACTAGACTGTGTAGAAAGCCTCTAGCAGAAACAGTGACCCTACTGCCTGTGCCTGCTCCTGGGAGAGCAGAAGAAAGGCTTCAAGGACAGCAGCATCACGAGTTTAGGTTGAGCTGCGTCATCATACCTCAGCACACACCTGAGGTGTCTGTGCTCCGTCCACGAGCTCCTCTTTCCCTCCTTTGCAGACACACACATGCAGTGAGGTGTGTTGTGTGTGTGTCATTAACACTAAACCTTAAAGATGAAGCATTGGGTTTCACTTTCTCTCCAGAACCTGTTTTGAAACAAGCACACACGCAGACATGCATGCTCACGTACACATTTACCTAGAACAGCCAGTGAAGGATATCACTTCCCAATTCATTAGTTACACCTTGCTAGTACTGGGTTGGACTTTTGCCTTCAGTGCTGCCTTTAATTCTTCATGGCACAGATTCAAGAAGGTGCTGGAAACCTTCCTCTGAGATTTTGGTCCATATTCAGATGAGAGCGTCACACAGTTGCTGCAGAGTTGTCGGCTGTACATCAATGACAGGAATCTCTAGCTCCATCATATCAAAGGTGCTCTATTGGACTGAGATCTGGTGACAGTGAAATCATTGTTGTGTTCAAGAAACCAGGTTTAGATGGTTTGAGCTTTGTAACATAGTGCATTTTGGAAGCAGCTAGCAGAAGATGACTATACTGTGATCATAAAGAGTTGGTCATGTTATTCATCCCTAAATGCACTGAAATGTGGTTGACTGTTTAGATAATTACATTATTAAAAAGCAGCTAGATAAATGTATCTAATAAAGTGGCCAGGGACTGTATGGTTGCAGCAGCACCCTGCTACAAAGAAAAGTGACAGCAGACAAGACTTGAATGAGGAGCTGTGGTTGGAGGTGGGTTGCAAAACAGCTTGCAGAGAAAGCAGCATGTATACATAGAGTAGAGCTAGCTGGT